GATGGCATTTCCTTCCACAAGACATGATGGGCACTGCTCTAGCACCCCTGAATGGCTGTGGTTCCCTACAGACCCTGTGTGACTTCTCACCTCTGGGGCTCTGCCCTCTCTCCATGGAGTGCCACAAACATCCCCTTTGCACTACTAACTCCTCCTCAACCCATATCAGCCCACTTCTGGAACACACACTTACACTCACACTCACACTTGGTGGTCACCCCACGGTACTGTGCAGACCTCCATGACTGTACTCAGCACACTGTACCACCATGGAGTAGTACTGTGTGGCCCCCTCACTGGGTTATCAGCACTCACAGGGAAGGTCTATCACACACTTCTCTGACCCCAGTCACCTAGCACTGTACCTAGCATCTACAAGATGCTCAATAAAAGATCCTTGAGGCATTATTTCAACAAGCATGGAACAGCAACTAAGGAAATGATTGCTCAGAGAGATGAAGGAGTTTATCCATGATATAAACTGATAAATAGGAGAAATAAAATGCTAATCTTGGTCTTTCTTATTTCCCAAACAATCTAAGACTGTTCTACACTTCCTTCAAAGGGAAAACAGATGATTTTGTGAGCTGGAAACATGATAGCTCTTGAGGTAATATTTTGTTTTGTTTTCATTTTATTCAAATGCCGCATGCTTTTGAGCATTTGAGGACAGCTATTGACTTTTTTTTTCTCAGAAAAATGCACACATACACCAAATTTTGCCTGCAACATAAAAGTTCATTAATGGTATGTTAGTCAGAATAGTAGCTGTGGTTGCAGTAACACATAAACCATAAAATATCAATGACAGAGCACCACAAACATTTAATTCTTACTCACATGTCTTTTGTGGATCAACAGGGGCTCTCCTCCACGGGGTGACTCAGGGAAGTAAACTGCCTGTAACATAAGACACATGTTTCCAAATCACCAGGACAGAAAGGAGGAACAGAAATAGAGAAGCCAGAATGACTTTTAGCTGCTTCAGCATGACAGTGACATGTGACTGTGATACATTGCACAGTGCCCATAGATTCCCTCCAGCCTATGTGCACAGCCCTAGGGACTTAAGGTGACTCTGCCTTTCCTCCTATCATCAGGTATGAGCTACTTCATCTCTTCAGGAGGGGTGTGGCTATTACATGGGCCAATGGAACATTTGGAAACAATGCAGGCTGAGGCTGGGAAAGTGGGGTGCAATGGCAGGTGGGGGTTGTCCTTTCTTGCTACCCTGGGAACCATGAGGTCCACCTGAGTTTGTCTGTTTGGAGACAATGTGACCCAGTCACCTCATGACTTCACTCAACATGACTTCACTTCAACCCTGCACCAGCATCTCTGGAGGACACAGTGAGTCACCATGCAGGTGAGTAAGGCTGACACTCCCAGATCCCCCAGTCCCTGCCCACCTACCTGCCTAGGGAACCCAGGCAAAAGCAGCAGACCTATCTAGCTTACCCTCAATCTGCTTGATGACCCCAAGAATTGTAGGCTGATAAATGATTATTGCTTTAAGCTATTGCATTTTGTGATTACTTGTTACTTTGCAAAATCTAACGCATGCAGAAGTGGGTTCTAGAAGTAGAGGAGTACACAGCAAAACCCTGGCACGTGGCCTTGGCTCTGGAACTGGGTGGAGGCTGGAAAGTCAGTTATCCAAGGTTGGAAAACTACGAATGATAGAGTTAGCATTTTGAAATTCTATACAGAGTTTAAAGGCTTCAAGACAGATGGTCCCTTTTTAAATCTCCCTCACCATCAGTGACAAGAGCTACGGCCTTTGTAAAAGATGCTAAATCAGAGGAAGGCCGTGGAGTCCTCTTTGTGTTAGACTAAGTCAGGGCCAGCACTCTTTTAAGAGCAGAGTAAGACCTGACCCCCTCTAAGAGCAAGGGGAAGCCTCAGAATTTGAAAAAAGCAGAGTTTGGGGGTCAGAAAAAAAAAAACTGTATCTAGCATAAATTTGCTGATGACCAGTGTGGAGCAGAGGTAGACGCCCATCCCAGAGACATGGAAGATGATCTTTAGTCTCTTGGCTTATTGTCAATATCAAACAAGATGATGAATGGGAAGGCTGGTAAGTGGCTAAACTTGTCGATGAAAACTAAGTGCATTATGATCCCTGCAGCCTGAGGCCACCATCCGCTGGCATCATCTCAGGCGAACCATACCTGAAGCCACCAGGAGCCCTGTGAGGTTAAAATTCCAGGAGACCTTTTGGAGCCTGGAACAAAAGAACTCCAGGGGAGTCAATTGGGAAAGATTTCTTGGGCAAGTAACATTGGTATAAACCCCATATGAAGAGTGCCATTGAGCCAGGTGGCATGTCTTCTGAGCAGAAGAAACATGTGCCAAAGTCAAGGTAGGAAAACACATTTTATCCATGCAGTTGCCCTCCGTGAGGACAAATACTACTTAAGGAGCTCAGCGTGAGAAGGCCCAATGGGAGGCGCCTCTTTTAAGGGTTCGGCTTCTCTTCAATGGAGGCCGACATGGAGGGAACAGGGATATTTCTTGAAACTCAATTTTCTGCTTGTTTACAAATGATTAACTACTACAATCAATGATGTCAAAGTTCAGGTCAGCGGCATCCTTTGGGACATGGTGAGACAGTGCCTTGTGCTTGAGCTAATGACAACTTGGCACAGTGCCGGGGGGAGGTTCTGCAGCAGGACTGCGTTCTGTGTTTGGGGCACAGTGAATGTGAGGGGACTATTGTCCTCTCTGGCTTCTCCTCTCCCTCCCTGCTCTTCCTCTGAGCATGTCCTTCCCCAGCCCACCTGCTCTGGCAGACACTGCAGGGCTGGGCCACGAGGGAAGAGGCCTAGTACTTGAGAGTACCCCAACTCACGTCAGAAATGAGGTGCAGAGCCTTGTGTTTTATACATTCAGACCTCAAAACAACCTTATGAAGTGGGTGTGAATGAATTATGACCCCCACCCCATTGTGCAGATGAGAAAACACAATCTTGGAGAAATTACGTAAATTGTTGAAGGGCATCAGATCCTTTCTGTAGCCCACGCCTTGTATGTCACCTCTTCCCTCTAGGGTTTGTCACCGACACCTGCAGTACCAACAGCAGCAGGATGGTCAACCCTCAGGCGGATTCAGCCCTTTCTGGGGGCAGGCTGCTTTTGTCAATGCGGGTCAGTGCTGTCTATACTTGACTTTGTTGATCCTGGAGAGTCAGAAAGGTACTTTTTAAAAAAATTATTCATTGGTTCTTTTTAGTGATTTGTTACAGTAGAATTCATTTTGGTACAATTATATAAGCATGGACTATATCATATTCTAGTTAGGATCCCATTACTGTGAATGTACGTGATGGTGGGATTCCCTGTGAGGTTTCCATCTCTGTATGTAGGAAAATCATGTCAGATTCATTCCACCGTCTTTCCTTTTCCTATCCCCTCTCCCTCCATTTCCCATTGTCTAATCTACTGAACTCTCAGAGAGGTCATTGGAGAACCACATACCTTTGCAGGTCACCTCTGAGTTTGCACCACGCTTCTCTCCTGCCACAGTCTCATGGCCCTTCCCGTGGGCAGGCGATATCTTGTCCACACCCAAATCAGGGCTGACCCTCTGTGCCAGCAGGGTCTCAGATATGAAAATAGCCAGGCCACATGTGGTTGTAGGAAATCTAGAAAGAATTTATAGAGGTGTGAGGTGAATATTTGCATGGATGATATCATTTCACAAAAAAAAAAAAATGTGCTTCAATGTGATGTTTTCCTTTGTGTCAGTTTAATGGTGAGAGATGGCAGGCCAGCCTTAGAACTACCCAGAACAACAACAAGATGAGGTAGAAGCACTCAGCCAGGCTCAGACAAAACCAGCTTGATTCAGGATCTATGAGGGGCACCTACTTAGCATGCTTGGTCTCAGAGGAAGGAAAGCGAGAGTCCACTGATGCGGGAGAGCTGACAATGAAACGCAGAGCTGTCTACTATCATTTGTGCTCTTTAAAGTCCCTGCAAATATTAGAAGAATGTTAAATCTATGTATATTAATTATCTGCTCCTCTTCCCCACAAGGGCAGGAAGCCACCTATTTCTCCCCAAATATAATGAAATTCTGCATAAAGTACATAACAACAGTAACAGATATTTGGATAATTATCCTCTTATGATTAGCATTCCTACAAAGTGTATTTTCTGCAACATTTTCATATTTACTTTATCTCATCTGATTCTCCAACTCTGAGAGATTGGTAGGCATCGCTCTTCCAATTTTTATATGAGGAAACAGAATCAATCAATAAAGTGTCAGCTAACTTATAGAGAAAGTACATAGTATGTGCCAGACATTGTTCATGGTTTTTTGAATATCTAGATTTATTTAATCTTTATTACAACGCTGTGAAATGAGTACTATTATTATTCCTGTTTTGTAGATGAATAAACTTAGGCCCAGAGAGAATTAGTAATTTACCCTGGGTCACATGGCTAATGGATCAAACAGAAAGAATTTGAACTCAGATGGATGGACTCTAAAGCCTGGTTCAAAATCACACAGCTGAAAAGAGGTGAAACTAGGATTCAAACCTGGGCCCATCTAACTCCAAATCCTGTGTCTACTTGGGAAGAGTAGTTCATGTCTGGATGCTCACATGGGCCTGTTGTAAGCCCTTTCCATCCACTAACTTATTTAATCCTCAACATTTAGCAGTTGAAGAATCAGAGCCACAGAAGTAAAGGAACTTGGTTAGTAAGCTAGCAAGTGGCAGAGAGAGCGTTCACTCCCAGGCAGTTTGAACCGAGAGCCATGATTCTTACCAGTTCACTAACAGCCTCTCTCCCCTGCAGCTCACCCAAACCTGGTCACACAGGAATAAAAACCAAATTGCTGGTCAGTGCAGTTTTGCATCCTTTGCCTGGTGTGAGTGTCACAAGACAGTTTCTATCTGTGCAAAGTCTGGAGTTTCCAGGCACTGGTAGCCCTGTTTACTCTGCTGAGCTGTTTGCTCTGTGGGGACAAAAGTTGACAGTGGTGACAGTGCCATTCACTGTGTGGCTTTCCATGCATCTGGGAGCCTTTCTGGATCTCCTGTCACATGAAGAAAAGGAAGACAGAGGCCTGGGCCTGGAGGGCACTGGCAGAGATGTCTCTTCTCTGTGTTGCCCTGGGTGGTCTCAGTTTGCCTGGCTCTAGGTAAGTGATGGTTATGCATGCCGGAACCCAGAGCAGGGGACACACAGCTTCATAATGCTGAGCTGAGCGACTCTTTTTTGCCGCGTGTCTCTGGGCTGAGGAGCATCCCTTGAAGCAATTTGCATGCTTCTCATAAAATAGTATCAATGATTCCCTTCAAATTATTGTGGAACCAAGTAACTGGCTTCAACAAAGGTTCCTGTTGAGAAAGTGACATGTTTAAATGTATTTTGTCATGCTAAGAAGAATGGGGTACTTGTTCTATATTCTGAACAAAGCTTTGGTCTGACTCTGTAGGCAAAAAAGGTTTGCTGAATGTGGAAAAGGGAGTGAATTCATCTGAATGATTTTAACCTATGAGAGTGACCCACTGGACCTGTTTACAGACCCAGTCTTTGGGTTGTCAGCTCCCCACCCCCTACCTCTCTTGCTCTCTCTTACACACTCCAGACATTTCCAGCTGTTAAATGCTAACTGATTTATTTCATTAGTAGAATTCGGGAGCTCAAACTTGGGCTGCCGTGAAAGAGGACCCCGTGGTTTGGCAATTTGAGGACCCTCCTAGTTCAGGAGAAGCCCCTGTCATGAGATACTGAAGCACTCAGGACCCCAGACCTCCTCGTGAGCACTCCTACAGACAGAGATCTGTTAATGCCATTCCTTTTACTTATTCCAAAGCGGTGACCTGAGCATGTGCCCTCATTTAGTGAGAGGAGTGCCAAATCCCCCTGTTGGATACTCCCTCTGGATGAGCTCTGCTGCCTGCTCAGCCCCCGTTAGGCACCTCACCTGAGACCAGGACTGTGAGCCTTCACCACCCATTCATTGCACACTCAAATAGACTGTTGGAATGATCAAGGCTCACAGCTTGGCTAGCATGAACAGAGAAGCCTGCAGGACCCAAGAGATTGTACCTGGAGCAGGGCTCCTTGAGAAACCACTGTGACCTTACCTATACAGCCTTGGGCCCTGTGCACAGCCCCTTCTTGGGCTCCAAGGATATGAAGAGGAACACGATACAACAAACTCGTATCCCCTTGGAGAATGATAACACGTGAGCACTCACTCCCTGTCCTGCTGCAAGAGGTGGTAGAGGACCACACAGGAAACGAGAGGGAGTCACCAGCTCTACTGGGCATGGGGTCTGGAAAAGGGGACAGGTGTGCCAGGCAGAGGAACCACATAAGCAGAGGCATGGAGGTGTGAGAGAGCCTGGCTTGTTCCTAGCATCCAAGTGTATTTCAGTAGCCGTGAGCACAGAGCAAGCTGGAGCAACAGGGGAGGGGGTGATGTAGGAATAAGCAGGGGTCTGACAGCAGGCAGAGTTGGGGGACACTGAGTGCCAGCTAAGGAGCTTGAACCTATGGTGCAGGCAGTGGGGAACTTAGTGAAGGGCAAAGCCATCAGAGTTATAATTAGGGAGGTTCACTCTAAGGTAGGGAATGGAGGTCTGAGGGGACAGTGCATGCTGGGAGTACTTACTGAACCTCACAGTGGTGTCACCAGGGGTGTTATTTCTTATTCGCTCTGTGTGGAAGAACAGACTGACCTCAGAGGAGGAGGGGTTCACCCATATGCAATGACCCCTTGCCTGGACCCAAGTTTAAGGTTCTCACCTTTACCTGTGGCTCCAACCCCGCAATCCTGGAACCAGTGTGTATTTGAATTTCAGACACCAAAGCAGAAAAAAAGGTAGTTAGTTCTGGAGCAGAAAATGCTCCCTCATTTTAGCTAAGAAATCTCCTTTATTTTAACTAAGAAAAATTTTCATTTTTATTTACCTTTGTAACCAGGCCACATGGTCATAAGACCCATTGATTATTGCTGATGGCCACTGTGCCAGGCAATTTCACACATGACCTCTCATCCCCACAGCTGCTCCAGGGAGGTGTTATTGTCCACAGTTTTACAGAGAAGAAAACCGAGGCCTAGAGAGATACGTTAGCGGTTCCAGGGTTACTCCCTAATGACACAGTAGAAAATGGATTCAAATCCAGTTTCAGGGGCATCAGTTTCCAGAGTCCCCATCTGCTCTCTGCATTATTCTACTGCTTACTCATGTACTTTCCCTCTCCACCTGCCTGGTGTAGCAGACTTACTGGACTCTCGTGTCAGCTCTCTATCTCTGGGCCATACATTTGTTGCCTTGAGATGTTGCTTTAAATTTTGTGTCTATAACAGCAAAGGACAGAGAGAAAAGAAATTGAAAACCTGCCACCCAGAAGCTGCCCACTTCTAGCAAAGAGGAAGGATGTTGTTTGCAAAGGGGATCCAGCAGCCCTAACAAATTGTGTGTGACAAGAAAGTTGTTGTGTCAGGGCATTTCTACAGAAAGCCAAAAGATATTGATGCACCCCCCTCCATATAAGCTGATGACTTGAAATTTACTGCTGACCTAATCCTGCTCTACTTGATGGATCCATCTTTATTTTGATCAGAGATGCCTGTTAGAAAGAGAGAGGGAGACCTGGGCCCAGTGAGATATGTCATAATGCTGGCAGTGGCATTCCAGGCACCCTGAGGAAAGAAAGACCCTTGCCAGCTCTTAAGTAAGGAGCACATGTTCAAGATATTTTTCAAGGGTGTTTATCATAGCATTTCTTGCATTTGCAAAAGCATTGAGAAATTATGAATGCTCCTCAAAAAGAAAAAGAATAAATTAAAAGCCATAGATGTCCCAAGATAGAATTCCCAGATAAAAGAAATAAAAGAAATGAAATAGGTCTTATAAATCACCCTGGAGAGGCCTCACAAAGGCATCATGGATGGGCAGCAGCAAGTTGCAGAATCCCATGCACAATAGGAGGTGAGCAAACCACAGCAATATTAATACAGAGTGGATATTTGTGAAAATATTTAAGACACTGAAAGGATCCACACACCAAATTTTCATAATGGCACTCTCCAAAGAAGAGAGAAAAAGAACCAGGGCGGGCTAGCACAAAACACAAGTATCCAATTTATAGGGATTTACATGTTAAAACAAAAGACTTAAAGCCAGGGTGCCAAAAAATTAGCAGCTGTCAATCTGGATGTGAGTACCGGGGTGGTTTTCATTCTGTTGTTTGTACTTCTGTAGGCATGTTTAAATTTTCAGAGTTATGTATATACAAAGGATTTTGAATAACCTAAGTCAAAGCAATTGGTTAAAATGTCCTTCCGGCTTGTTTCCAAAGACATTCACAAGGGTGAAAGGCAAGTGTAATCTTACTAAGGTCCCAACTGGACCCCTCCTTTATGGGGTTTTATTCCCAGGAATTAAAGACACGACTGAATGCTGTCTTTTCTTTCAGATTTGCATTTTGTAGCACTAACAAACCACATGCATCTTATCTAATGTAATTTACAAACATACTATTTATGCTGCTGATTACTTCATTATATTGCCACTCCATAATGAAAATTGGGTGCAAACATGAGAGATCTGGTGCTTATAACAACTCCTTACCCAGTTCCTTCTGTAAGTGATCATCTTGCCCATTAACAGGCTTTCAAATCTCAGGGAGGAAAATAATTGTGACTTTTAATAGCTAGTGTGTACATTCCTTACTCACTCAGTCTTGACTGTGGCCCAGAGTTGGTTTGATAGTTGCAAAAAAACACAATGTAACTGTTTTGTAGTTGAAATAGGAAGAGGGTACCCTGCAGAGCTGTCAAATACATACTTAAGAGAAGCCAAATCACAGACAATATTGTTTTGTCAAACGTGGGCAAATGAGTAGATAGGAGCCCATTCTGAGACCCCCCGCTGGCTGTGCAGCATCCAGCCTCCAGTAACCATTTTAAAGTATCCACCTGTGGTTTCCAGTAGTCTTTGACCTTTTGTTAAAGATCCAACTTTACTAGGCAATTGATTTTTGCTGGTCTCTGGGGCAGTCATGGAGATGGATTTCACTGTAGTTAATATTACCCTCCTTTTAGGGCTTTTGCCAAGTAAGAATGTATTGTTAACGACCTTGTCTGGAGTGACACCCTGTGTATGAGACAGAGAAAGTGTGATCCTCTCCCTAATGACTCAATCTTGGACACGGGAATGAGAGGTTGGAGGGGATGGCTGGAGTGGACGCTGGGCCCCTTTCCTTCCAGACAGCATGGGGCAACTGGCATAGCTCATGTGCAAGAGCCAAACAGACCACTGCTCACATTCCAACAACACAGCATACCAGCCTGCCACCGTCCCTCAGGGCCATTTCCCACATATGCCCAGGTGCCGGTGTTCTGTAGCTGCCTTCTAGCAGGATCGAGTGAGAGAGCCTGTGTGAAACACCTGGCCCAGCATGTGACATGCACGTCTTGACTGCCCAGCACATCTTTGTTGTTTTGGGTTTTTTTTTTTCCCTGTCATCTTCTTTTCAGGTTTGAAAAGGAACACAAATTAGAAAGAATCTTATGATGTCATACTGTCTTTCACTTGGGAAGAAAAAAATCGTAAGGCGCCCATTATTACAGATGGGGCCATTGGAGGCTCAGGCAGAGTAATAACCCGTGTCCCGGTCTGTCCCAGGAACTCAACAAAAGCATTGCCTTATCTTCGCAATGTCCTTTAGGTCTTCTGTCATTCGACGGCTCTGCAGACATACTGTCTGTCTTCTGCCCCTTCATCCCCTGACTCACCTCCACAGGCTCCCGAGGACCTTGACTTGACAGCCAGTCCCCCCTGGCCTGCCTTGTACAGTGACCCTTAAGGCTTGTCCTCATTGGGTTGCCTCTCAAGAGCAGTCTCATCCTGTTTCACAGCTCCTCAGGATCAGATGCATCCTCTGGCACACATCTCCCCTCCTGAGTTCCCACCCCACAGAGGAGCCGTGTGCTGAATGTATCTGTGGTGATGTTCCTTGAGAATCTGGAATTCCAGACACCTCTGCCATCTTCCCCTGAACTTCCCCTTTTCTCCTGCAATACCCCTCTGCCTACACACTCACCCTGGAAACCAGCATCAGCCTAAGCTCTTTCCTGTCTCGACTCCTCTGCCCCATCCAATGATCCAGTACTTTCTACCCATTCCACCGGATACCTGTCCAGCCCACCCTCTCTCCCCGGCTGCTGCTGCAGCTCAGGTTCACACCACTCACTGGCATCCTCACCCGCCTCCTCACTGCAGCCCAGCTCTCCCTACCCCCACCCAGCCTGCACTGGTCCTCAATCGTGGCTCTGCCCACGGGCACTGCAGGCTCTGAAACCTTGCCTATAGGGTAAAGCTCCACAGAGCTAAGACATGCCACATGTGTCTTACTCTAAGACAAACTGAGTTCCAGAAGGCAGAATCTGTGTCCTATTTCTCTGTATCCCTCATAGCACAATACCCTGAATATTATTTGTTCTCTGCAAATATTTCTTAGACTGTTAGCATGAATTGGCACCTCAAAGACCTTCTAGTGCAAACCTCTCATTTTCAGGAGAGTAAAACAGAGACTTAGAGATGGAGAGTGAATTGCTGAGAATCACATCTAGCTATCTTCTGGGTACTTTAGAGTTTGTAAAGTGCTTTCCCATTCACTATCATTTTTATTCCAAGAAATAACATTATGAGGTAGACATGATTAACCCCATCATATAGATGAGAAAAGTAAAGGTTATACCAGTTGAAAATCCAGCCTGAGATCACCCAAGTGCTTAATGGACTGTCTTTTGATTCAAGTTCAGTACTCTTTTGTCCACAGCTAGCCATAATGTCAGGAATTTACTGCATGTTCAATAAATATTTATTGGATGAATTAGCCTATACTGGATAATCAACTAATAGCCTAGTACAGGTGAACAAATATATATTTACTGGGTGGATGGACAGATGGCTGGAGGTGTATGAATTCCCTTCTCTACTTAATGCTGTTCTTTTATAATGACTTTTTTAGAGGTGAAAGGTTGTGTCCCTTTGAGTCAAGTAAAGTCAACAGGAGCCTTGCTAAGAGCAGACAGACGCGGAGTGTGGATGTCCCCGTGATGCCTATTGATTGTGAACTGTCCAGCTGGTCCTCTTGGACTGCCTGTGACCCCTGTCAGAAAAAAAGGGTAAGAGCCCAAGCCATGGGGAGGGTTAAGCTTCCTGGAGCCCTTGTCCACCACAAAACTGGCCGAGGAACCGCACTCGGTGCCTGGTACATAGTAGGTCCTCAGGAATGTTGGCTGATTGAGACCACGGGATTTTTCCCTTTGAGTTTTCAAGTGAAAGCAATCAGAACCTTTCTTTGGTCCTTCCGTGTTTTCCAAACCCATCTGTCCTTGCAGATTCCTAGTTAGGCTTCCTGTCTCCAACCTGCTCTCTCCACCCATCTTTCATGGTGCAGCCAGAGAAAGCTAAGTCTAAAAACCATTCCAAGTCTACACCGTACCCTGAGGATCAGGACCCAACTAGTGTTAACCTAACCTGGCCTGTATCTCCATGCAGTATCCCCCGGGAACATGGGCATTCCTCCTACCATCCCACTCTCTGCTTCTTTCATGCTGCTTTCCCAGCCAAGAGTGGCACCCCCCCCCCATGTCCTTCACTGGCAAGCACCTGCTCATCATTTGCAATTCTACTCAGGGCCGTCTCCTCGGAGAAGCCTTCCATGACTGCTCCTCAGTCTCACCTCCAGTTAGACAGAGCAACCTTTCCAAGCATCAGTAAGTCCCGTTACCCTGTGTCCTGGCACTTCTCACACAATGGTGTTCATTATTTACTTTCACTAAGCAGTAAACTTGTAAAGACGTATCCCATTCTGTGCCCCAAGTGTGCATTCCAGTGTCTGCAAACAGCTGCTTCCTAAGTATTTGTTGGAGCTCATTCTATTTTGTGACATCTTTGCAAGGCAGCAGAGATGGTTGCTATCCTTTGGGTTAGAATGACAGTCAAACAGAGCTTCATCAGGTAAGTGACTTGTTGGGGGTTCCCTAGTCGTCCACACAAACCTTGAATTCAGGCCACTGGATCCTCGTCTACGGTTCTCTCCCCCATGAAACCACAGTCTCTGCGGTGTTTGCCCTTCAGTCCCCCTTGTCCTAGGAGGATGGACGCAGGATCCCAGCTCTGAGAACAGAGGATGTTTCAGAGCGGAGAGAATGTCGCTATGTCCCTGGCTCGTTGGGAAACCAAGCCTGTCATGGATAGCACTCTAAAGAGGCTGTGGAAGTAGGCCCCAGAAAATTACGCAGTTAATTGGATCAATGGGGAGAGCCAGGCAGGATCATTCTGGTCCCAGAGAAGGTTTTCTTGCTGAAGTTATCAACATTGATCCAATTATCTGGATAATTGCTTCATCAGCTGCATAAACTAGGAAGACTCCGCATGAGCCAGCCGGCCAGAGCTCCGCACTCCAAATTTGCTGCAGACTCCACCCCCCCACCACCCCCACCACCCCCGCCAGACCTCATTCCTAGCTGCAGGGTCACCAGCTGTGGGCTTGACAAAACCTCTCAGCCTGGTCTCGAGGGGTACTCCTTCCATCCTTTCCACCCTCCTCAGACCCACTTGGCTTTCTGTGAGCAGGGTTTTATTTCAGGCTTATTTTCAAATTGACATTTAATATTTGTACTTTTATGGAGTATCATAACTTGATGCATGTATGATAATCAAATCAGGGTAATTAGCATTTCCGTCTCCTCAGACATGATCATTTCTATGTGTTGATGTGTTGGGAATATTCAAACACTTCTCCCACCATTTTTTTTTTTGAACTATAGAAGTAATTGTTGTAGATGACAATCACCTATTGTGCAACAGAACCTTAGAATTCCTTCCTCCCTCTGTGTTTGGTAACACGATCCGTCCTCTCTTATTCCCCTCTCCTCTACACTCTCCAGTCTTTACTCTACCCTCTATTTTTAGCTTCCACACATGAGTGAGAACATGTATCTGTCCTTCTGTGACTGGCTTATATCACCTAACCTAATGTCCTCCAGTTCCTTCTATGTTGCTGCAAATGGCAGGACTCCATCCTTTTGATGGCTTCATAATATCCCATTGTGATTTCACCACATTTTTGGAAATCCATTCATTTGTTGACAGACCTATTGGTAGATTCCTTATCTTGGCTATAGCGATGCAATCAATGTGAGTGTGCAAGTGTCTCTTTGATATAATGATTTCCTTTTCTTTAGCTATATATGAAATATAGGGATTGCTGGATCAGATGGTAATTTTTGAGGAACGTTCATGTTATTTTCCATAATGGCCATACTAATTTACATCCCCCCTCACCAACAGTGTCTAAGAGTTCTTCTTTTTCTGAATCCTTGCCATCTGTATATCATCATTTTAAAAATACTTATACAGATTATTTGCACATTTTGAAGTCTTTGGGTCTTTTTTTGTTGTTGAGTTGCTTTAGTCCCTTACATATTCTGGATATTAACCTCTTGTCGGATGAACAGGTTGCAAGTATTTTCTTCTGTTCCGTACTTTGTCTCTTTTGACGCTCTTGATTGTTTTCCCTTGCTGTGAAGAAGCTTCTGAGTTTGATATAAACCCATTTGTATAGTTTTTCTTTGGTTATCTGTGCTTTTGAAGTCTTATTTTTAAAGAATTCCTTATCTATACCAGTGCCTTCAAGGGTTTCCCCTGTGTGTTTTCTAGTAATGTCATCATGGAGGGTCCTACTTTTAGGTCCTTGATCCTTTGTGAGTGGATTGTTGTGTATGGTGAGAGAGGGGAGACTCTCATCATTCTTCTACAGATGTATATCCAGTTGCCCTGGCACCATTTTGTTAAAAAGACCCTTCTCTGGTGCACACTCTTGGTGCCTTCAGTTGACTGTGAGTATGTGGACTCATTTCCAGATTCTCTGCTCTGCTCTGTTGGTATATGTGTCTGTTTATGCCACACCCATGCTGTCCTGTTACTCTACCTTTACGGTGTGCTTTGAAGTCAGGTATTGTGAGGCTTCCGGCTTTGTTCTTTTCACTCAGGATTACTTTGGTTATCTGGGGTCTTTTGTGATGTGATATACATTTTGTCATGTTTTTCTAGTTCTTTAAAGATCATCATGGGCATTTTGATGGGGATTGCACTGAATCGCACTGAATCCGTAGGTCACTTTGGATAGCATGGACATTTTATCAGTATCAATTCTTCCAATCCAGGAACATGGGATGTTTTGTGTCCTCTCATAATTTTGAATTTTATATATTTTTATAATATTTGTTATAGATATATTTTACTTCCTTGTTAAAATTTATTAGTAGGTATTTTATATTTTGTGGAGAGTGGAAATGATTGATTTTAAATTTATTTTTCAGCCTCTTTGTTATGAGAGGATACAAATGCTACTGGTTTTTTGTATGTTGACCTGTAACCTGTAAGTTGATGAGTTTATCAGTTCCGACAGTGTTTTGGTAGAGACTTCAGGTTTTTCTAGATATAACATCATATCATCTGCAAACAGATCATTTGACTTCCTCCTTTCCAATTTTTATTTTTTTTCTTTTGTCTCATCCCTCTGGCTATGACTTCTAGTACTATGTTGAACAGGAATGGTGAAATTGGACATCTTGTTTTGTTCTAGTCTAGAAGAAATGCTTCTAGCTTTCTCCCACTTAGCATACTGTTAGCTGTGGGATTGTCACAAATGGCCGTTCTTGTGTTCAGGCCTATTCCTTTTGAGTGTCTGACTTGTTGAGATTTTTTTTTTCTCTCACAAACTTCTTTGCAAGTCTTATCTCTCTCCTGACAGGTTCTGCCTTCCGGAAGGAAGTCCAATGGAGCATGGGTGAATGATTGTCCATATTTATTTTCTGGATTTCCATAGCCACAAGTACAGATGCCATATAAGTAACAATGAAGCCTTATTAATGTCATTGTGCAGAGAGGAGAGAGGTGCTATGTTATGGTTTGGATATGAGGTCTCCCCCCAAAACTCATGTGTGAAACAATGTAAGAAAGTTTGGAGATGAAATGATGGGGTTATGAGAACCTTAACCCCATCTGTGAATTGTTCCCCTGATAGGGATTAACTGAATGGCAACTGTAGCCAGGTAGGGTGTGGCTGTAGGAAGTGGATCATCGGGAGACATACCTTTGGGGTTTATATTCTGTAAGTGGTGAGTTTAGTCTCTCTCTCTGCTTCATGGTGTGATATCTTGAGCTGCTTGCCTCCACCACAATCTTCTGCCATGATGTTCAGCCTCACCTTAAACTTCAAAGAATGGAGTTGGCCATCTGTGGACTGAGACCTTTTTCTCCTCTGATTGTTCTTGTCAGGTCTTTTAGTCACAGCAGTAAAAAGAAAGCTCGCTAAAACATGCTGCTCTCCTGGTTCACACCCCCCTTTTGTACACAATCTTGATTCCAACCAACATTTGGAAACCAGCCAAATCTGATAACTCTCTTCCTCTTTTAAGTCCATATTACGAGGTTGATAAGATGATTTACCTGCCCCTGCCTTGTGTCCCTCCTGCTCTCCCACTCTCCCTCTGGCTCTCTTTTCTCCAGTCACAATGGATATTTGGCTCTGCTTTGTCTCTTGTTCGTGTGTTTTGTCTCTTGGCTTTGGTCCAGCTATTCCCTCATCCAGGTTGTTCTCCATCCTCACATCCACTCTCCGTGTCTGCCTGATACTCCTCCTGGAGTTTGCAGGAAAGAATCACGTTTCAGCCTGGATGTCACTTATTCTAGAAGCCCTCCACCAGCCTCTGAGTTTGCACAGGGGATTCCACATGAGCATAGAAAGCGCTCTGTATTCCCCCGTCATGTTGACATTGCACCGTGTTGTCACTGCTAGGGGCCGATCACCACCATCGTCATGGTGCCAAAGGCAGGTCAGGGGACATTGTTATGATTAAAAAACCAACCAACCAGCAAGCAAGGAAAAATGACATCTACCTTTTTAAACAAATAGGTCAATCAATATTTTTTGAATAAATGAGTAAGAAGGTTGACATAGAGCAAAATTGACTGCTAAAAATCATTAATAATAAAAGAAAAATAACTATAAGAAACTGAGTGCCTGCTATATATCAGACAAACATAATGAGATCAAAACTATGCATTAAGTTTAAACTCCATAACTGTACATTTAGGTAATTTATTATTCTCGGCTTACAGATGAGTAAATTGAGATCCACACAGATTAAGTTACTTGGCTGATACCACAACTAGAAAGTTCCAGCCAGTTGGGACTGTAAAGCACGTAACTTTTCATTTATAACATATTGATGCCTTAAGGAATAAATGAGTATACGTTAACCCACTTAAGTAATTAAACTGAGTTTATGTTGTGTTATTGAACTAGATTCGTGAATCCACTTACTAACTTTTGTCTCTAAAGCCTGTGCCTTTTCTAATTCAGCAAATCTTGAGAGATCACTGCAGAAACAGATTCAAGGCAAGGCACCCACCCTTAGAGAGTTCGAAGTCCAGTTGGAGGAAGACTCAGGTGAAGACATCCTTAGGGATACACAATAGGGGACATGCAAGGGCAGGGAGAGCAGTGAGGAGATGAGCCCACCTCCTGGCTGGGGACCCCTCTGCATACAGCCTCCCTCATCTTCTGAGGTCCCTGAGTCCTGCTCTTTTTTGCTACAGTACAGGCATGCCTATCTCCTCCAGCCTGCTCAGTTCCATGGGGAGCCGTGCGACTTCTCTGACAAGGAAGTTGAAGACTGTGTTACCAGCAGACCATGCAGAAGTCAAGTGCGATGCGAGGGCTTTGTGTGTGCACAGACTGGTACAAAAGGGCATGGGGGCAGGTGGGGAAATCTGGAGAAGGAGACGAAGGCTCATGATGATGGAGGGACAGGCTATGAGTAGTGCTCATGACCACGGTCATGGGACAGGACAGGAGGACTTTTTGTCCTCCAATATCCAGTCTCCTTTTACATGGATTATTTCTTGAAAAAAAAAATCCCTATAATGTAGATGTCATTATTATCCCAATTTTACAACCTATAAAATTGAGACTCAAAGAGCTGACTTGCCCAAGATCATCTTACCAAGCAGGTAAGAAGATCTAGAGCTGCAGTTAGAAATTGGGGGCTTCTATTTATATTCACTGAACTCAAAAGTATGAGTGCTAGAATGAGAAATCCTGGATGGGTCTTATTTTGACTTTGTGATCTAAGAAAGGTCACTCAACATTTTTGCACTTGGGTTCCGTCAATAGAAAAATCAAGGGAGATGCTAATACCTTACCAGCCTTTTATAAGCATACAGGGACATATTGGACATAAAATTCATAGACTGTCAGCTCTGCTAGCTCTCCCAGAGCCCTGAGGTTGGGCACAATGTGGCCAAACCTGAAACAATTAAGTTGGGTGACCAGCATTGCTTGTCTCTGAAAAGCATCTTTGGAGAGATAGGCCCAGTCACTTATATTTCTGCATCACCAAGTCCAAAATAATCCCCAACATGATATGATCAGTAAAAAAGAAAAAAGTCCTGATTATTAGAAAGAAGGAAAGAAAATAAGCAGGACAGATGGACAAAAAGAAGGAAGCTACAAATGAGTATTAATTCACTGCAGAATTCAGTAAACACTTGTCATTCCAACTTAACTAATTTAATTCATTCAAATAAATATAGGTCTCCCTATTTCTCCAAGTCTCTGGCAATAATAAGGGCTGTTTGACCTAAATTATCTAGATGGGAGTTTCAACTCTCTATATTCACTATACCCAAGTGGTTTGTGCTTCAAGATCTTTCAAAAAAGAGATAGGGATTCTCAGAGCAATTTCGAGGGCTTATTGCAAATGCAAAATTCCATCTAATAAATCTGGTAGACTTTTTTACAGTGTATCTACGGACTCATTATGGCCAGTGTTCCATGATTCTGGCCAGAGTCATAATGGTTATTCGTGCAGGCTTTAGTTTAAATGCTTGTAAGAAAGATTTGAAGACCAGATTGTTATTTTTCTGCCTTTAACATCCCAAGAACATGGCTTGAAAATGACCTCATACATCTAAGGAAACAAGGCCACCTATCTATCTTATGGGCTTTATCTCGCAACGATATACAAATAAGAAAGGAAGTTAGGTCATGGGGAAAAAAATTTAAAGGAAGCAAAAGTGAGGTAATTTTTCACAGTCCAAATGGCATAAGGTGCTGAAGGTATCATAGATAGATAGGAGGAAGGAATTCATGATGGGACGGGTAAGAGTTCTAATCCTGCGGTAAATATTCAGTAGCAGTGTGGACTTTGCCCACAAAAAACACTAGCAGTAGTAATACTACCACTTTCTCCATACCTACCTGAGCCAACACTGTTTCATTTACTATTTCATTTAGAAAGAAGGAAAGAAAGACTGAACAACCTTATGGGATAGGCAGGATGACTTCTCCATTTCACAGGAGAGGAAACTGAGGCAAGGGAAGTTAAGGAGAGCAGGTGGATGTTTGCAAGACCTCTTCCCAGTCTCATGGGAAGGAGGCCCGTCTGCTCAGTCGGCTTCCCCTCTGGACACTTGGCCTCTGCTTCTCAGGCTCTTTCCCTGTTTCCACTTTCCCCTTACAGAGTGGTTCCAAGCAAATTCCCTCAGTGATTTTCAAAGACAACTCTGACCTCTTTGGGGAAGGTGGTGGCAAGAAAGGAATAACTCATTAGTTATATTATTTTATTATAGTATGTCACATTATATTATAATTCATTACCAATCTGCCCTAGTACATGAGAACTCATCAAAACAGACATGAAAGTCCCAACCCTGTGTCTGGAAGCTGGTAGCACTTATCACTCAGCTGCCACATGATCACAGCAATCCTCTTTCTCCATCCCAGGGAGGTGTGTCAACCGCAGACTTCTTTGCAATGGGGACAATGACTGTGGAGACCAGTCAGATGAGGCAAACTGTAGAAGGATTTATAAAAAATGTCAGCACAAAATGGAACAATATTGGGCGATTGGCAGTCTGGCCAGTGGGTAAGTGATGGTCTTTTGACTCTGTAGATAGGAAGGCCCCAAATTAAATGGAAATCTGGAAAACAGAGAGGTAAGGGGCTGAAACCAACAGTTTCATGCTTTCCTTTCTGGAAGAAAAAATAAAAGGCTATCGTAAATGGGTGCCTGTGGCTGCTCTCTGGGGACATTTATGAGTGGCTGCAGAAGCACATCCCATGAACAGAAATGGGCCACAGGAGGTCCAGCTTAGCGATGCTGTACAAGGAGACCGCTTCAAGGCAGGGATGAACCTTTCCCTCACACCCATGATGTGACCGTGTCAGGCACTTTCTAACCTCGAGTCCCTCTGAAAACTTGTCTGGTAGGTTTTCTCCATAGTCCTCAGCCTTGGCCAGGCTAGCAGAGAGCCTACTAAGTGGTTAGTGAGGGAATGGATTCCCAGGATGTGCCTGTAATCAGTGTGTTTCTGGGGATCTCTAAGATGGCCCAATCCTCAGGTGAGGTCAGAAGAGCCAGGTCACATAGGGCCAAACGGGTCTGGTACTCAACAAACCTTTTGGAGCTGCTGAATCTGTCGGTGGAAGGGTGAGTCCTTCTTATCACACACACCATTGTCATTGATGCATGATGGGACAGGGAACAGGGACTCTTAATGGAATTCTTGTCTCTAAACAAAAACCAGATCTCAGTTCCTCAGGGTTATGGTCAGGGAGACATTCTTCATTTGGGAGTGGTAGACTCCCCTCAAGACCACCTCATAAACTAGTTATTAGGGTCCCCACTTCTCAGGTAAGGAAATTCGGGCCTTGCAAAGTTAAATAAGCTCCAGGGCCACCCAGCAAGAGGGCAGCAGAGTGGACATTCAAAGCCAGCGGTGGGGTCTAACCAGACCCTGTAGGAAGGGACGTGCCAGAGAAGGAGCAGAGCAGGCTGGAGGAGGAGCAAGTGTTTCTGAGCGGCTGGGAACTAGGCCATTCAGGTGCAGCTCAGGAGGCTGGATAGGAAACTGGAACTCGGGTTTGGCCAGGTATGGAGGACAGGCTTGTGGGCCTGAGGAGTCTTCTGTTTCCTTCAGGGAGGGTCTGCCTGTTCAGCTGTCTCAACCTGAAATCTAACCTTCCCAACCCTTCTTTGCCTTTCTTACAGGATAAATTTGTTCACCAACAGTTTGGAGGGCCCAGTTCTTGATCACAGGTATTACGCTGGTGGATGCACCCCACATTATATTCTGAACACCAATTTTAGGAAGCCCTACAACGTGGAAAGCTTCACCCCCCAGGTAAGGGATAGCCCGCGGGACAGTGAAGGAGCACTGGACCAGGACCCGGCAACCTCTAACTGTGTGGCCTGGGACATATCACTCTGTCTTTGAATTCGGTTTCTTCTTGTGTGAAATGGGTGGTCCCCACCTCAGGACACTGCACTGAGGATGACTGACATGTGTACACAGCGGAGATAGCAGCAGCCTACCAATGGCTCCCCCGAAGGCAGAGGCAGAGCTCAGAATCTGGAGTCACACACAGGCTTGGTGCCTCATCCGCTGGCCACCCTGTAGTCCTAGGTTCTTGGAGCCCCCATTTTCCTATCTTTAACGTGGAAGTCATAAAGGCTCTGTGTGCAAAAAGGAGAGGAGTCCAAGAATGGA